TATATAAAAACAAAAATTTAATATAAATGAAACGTAATATCATCCTTAATGAATCATATATGAATGTATTAAATCTATAGCGTATAAAAGATCTAGAACTGACAAATAAAGCCGCATACGAAATGAGATTTTTCCAAAGATATAGTTTTTTCTTCGTTATTTCTTATTTTGCTCTTAAGATACACTGCACTAATAACATACAGTTTCGTACCTACATCTTACTCTTTGATTTTTACAGTTTCAATGGATATTAAAATTTTCGAAGAATGAGTATTCTTATCGAATAAAAATTACATGAATAATTACTATTTTCTCTTTAAAAATATATAGAATACATCCATATCACTTAAAAAATTATATATAGTCATATATAATATGTAATTATTGAATATTTTTAATAAGTATACGTTATGGATCGTTTATAGTAGTCAACAATATTTCATTACAGCAAAGTAGATCATAAAAAGTTGTTATTATAAATGCAATAGTAATATTGTAACTTATTCGATAGCATAACGATTTGCTATAATTAGAAAAAAGATATGTAATTAATGTGTATTATAATTAATATTCAAAAATTTGTTTGTGATAACTCAATTTATATAGAAAACAACATATTTTTAACCTCCTTATCAAATTTAACGAATTACAAATTAGAAATATTAAATATTGTATTTCGTTAAGAACTAAACATGGAGATATGTCTTTCTATTACATAATATGAATATTACATTATATGAATAAGTGCATATGTGAAATATGAATTTCATAACGATAATACCTATAAGATAATATGCATAAAATAATATTCGAGAAATTATTTCCAGATAAACGTCCTATTAAATAATTAATATAATTTGCGTTACAGAATTATTTTAATTTATAATCGGAATAAAATCTATTATAATGATCTATCTGAAAAAGTGACATAAAGATAATTACAAATCACAAATCATAAATCATTTGTAAATTGGGAGACATGTACTGAAATTAAACAACATATTACATTTCTGTACATGCGACTTAATTAATTATTTTATATTAAATGTTGATACATTCCATAGAATTAAGTCTTTATTCATAAAATAGTCATGTTAAAAGTGTTAATAATAGTCATGATAAAATTGTACTCTCTCTTTCTCTCTTCGCCAAAACGTAATTTAATTCTCTTCTATAATCTTATCCCAAAATTGACATCGAAAAATTCTGCACTACAAGCAATCTACACGGTGGGAATAGCATTGAATTCTTCTAATTTAATTATCGAAAATATATATATTATATCCTAATATTGAAAAAATATTTCCGAAAATTATAGAACAAATACGTGCTCGAGAAAATTGTAAGAACAATAACAAAATCAGAATACAATTATTTTTAATTGATTAATTAGAAGAGAAACAATCTACTATTAAAAAATAAAATCAAATTCTTCCGATTATATAATTTTTGGTATTTTTCCCAAAATATATATGATTTTTTTACTTTTTTTCTGTATAATAATACCTTTGCTGTCATGATAGTTTACATGATGACACACCATTTCTTTGTACTCTCAATTGGTTCAGCCGTCATTTTATTGTCATCATTTTTTATCCCGCTAATGTCTAACTTGGATTCGAATTTATAAGGTGTGGCTTTTGGTGTGGATACCTGCATACTAGGTATACGTAAACCTTTCAATAGATTAATAGATGTATTGAAAATGTTATTACTTTCTTCATCTATTTTTTGCTTTTTCGCCGAACTCCAATTTCCTGTTTCAATTCTACGTTTTCTGTCTAACGGGCTACCATTTGTAGAGAAAGTATCGGATAATAAACCAGTACCATAAGGTAAGACTTTAGATTCTATTCCTTCATCCTGTAGCATAGACATAGTAGAGGTATTCACGAAAAGAGAACTATTCGGTGATATCCTGTTTTCACGCAAAGTAACATGTCGCATTCGACCGATGGAATGTCTTCCCGAGATGTTTCTCAGCGTCCTTCCAAATGACTGATCTTTTGACAGTTGATTCGGTATATCTTCCGTATTGCTTACGTCATAGAGCTTCGAATTATCTTTCAAACAATCATTGAGTCTAATTTTTACATCTTTTAACATTATAGATGAATCATAAGAAATAAATGATGGATCATTTATAGTGTCATTAATACTTTCTTTATCCTTCTGTATGTCGCTCTGAATAATAGATTCTGACGTTTCGGATAATTCTGATGTAGTAGAT